CCCCCCCCCCAACTCCTACAGCCCCCTTACCTCCTCTGGGACACGGCCCTTGGGGGCAGCACCGGCGGGCGGCTGGGCGGCGGGGGGGTCTTCAGGGACTGGCACTTGCCTTCCAGCTGGTGACGTTTGGCCGGCAGCGGTGGCAGGGGGGGTCTCACCCTGCTTTCGGCCAGGGGCTTCTCAGCCACAGTTGGTGGCGCGGGCAGCTCTGGGGCCGGGGGGCGGCTGCGGGGCACGAGGGGGGGCTCGGGGCTGCCGCTCGTTAGCGATGGGGAGAATTTGACAGGGGGGCGGCAGCCCACCCTGGGTGGGATGGGTGGGGGCAGCTGGGTGAAGTTTGCACCCCCCTCCGGCTCTAGGACCGGGGACCCACTGGGCACCGCCAGGCACGGGGGATCCGGCTGCTCCAGCTGCCCCGGCACCGCCGCGGTGCTCAAGCGGAAGATATGGCGTTTCATGGGCACGGGTTTTCTGACGGGGGGTTGAGGGGTCCCGGCGGGCAGGGTGGTCTCGGCAAAGGCTTTCTGGAGTCCCAGGAGGATGCGGCGGCGGTGGCCAGGCAGCACCACGCCGAGGCGGGTAAGCACCTCGTCCGTCAGCGCCCGGCAGTCCCACACCGTCCACAGCTCGCTCTGCTGGAAGGTCTCCACATACTGGTCGAGGTGGAGGGCCGCCAGCCAGGCGGCCACGGGCAGAGACCCCCCGTCCTCCATGGTGGGGGCCTGGCCGCAGAGACCTCACACCGCTCAGTGCATCTCCTGCGCCTGGCAAGGCTCAGGACGGCATCAGAACCTGGGGACGGAGAGAAGTGGGGATGAGTGGGGGGTCAGGATCAGTCCCAAACTATGCACCAGCTGAAGCCCAGGGTCCCAGAACTACGATTTCCCAGTTCAGCAGCGTGGTTTTCAGAGGGGCCTCCTCGCCTCCGACCCCCCTGTGTCCCCAGCAGGATCCGGCACTCGGGCACCGGCACCTCCCCTGAACCGAGGGGGCTGCAGGGATCCGGGAACGCCGGGGGGTCCTGATTTAGGCATCTAAATGTAGATGCCATCCCCACCGAGGCTTGCCAGATGACGGCATCACGCGGCGCCGGCACGCTCCCCAGCCGCAGCATCACACCGGGAACGGCTGGCTGCCCCCCCAAGGGCTGTCACCCCCCGCAGACGCAGCTCCGTCCCACAGTCCCCATTTACACCAGCGTCAGGATCCGACCCTGCGCAGGAGGGCATGCGATCTCCCAGAGGATGCTCGGGCAATTATGGGCTAATCGATGGGGAGCGGAGGCGATGCATCAATAGCTGCAGAGCTCCTGCAGATGGGCAGACAGCCACCCCCCCAGAGCCCCCCGCTCTTCCTGCCCTCAGCCTCTGCCCAAGCAAGCCCAGATGGAGGGACAGAGAAAGACGGACGGATCCAGAAGGCTGCACCTCACCAATGCCAGACAAAGCCTTTGCATGGCAATGGGATGCTGAGAGGAACCCCCATCCCCTCTCCCGGGTCGTCCCCAGCCCCATCAAACCCACAGGTCCCAAAATGTTGTCTCCCGAAGCCCCACGAGAGCAAGCACAAGCTCTCGCTGGCTCACAGCCTGCCTGGTCCTCGGTCGGTCTTAAATCTGGTTTGGGGGCGAGCTCAGGGCTTTAGGAGAGGGGCCAGATCCTGATCTCGTCATGCAAACACGGTCCTCGCTGCCCACTGGTCCCGGCCCGGGCAGCTGGAGACCCTGACCCAAACACCCACCGAACCCCACGGGCCCCCACCCCGGCATCACTCCCCAGTTCCCAGCCTGGTCCCGGGGTCCGGGCAGGCACACGAGCCCCAGGTAGGAGGCAGACCCCAGCCGTGCTGGCACACGGGCTGCGCTCCTCCTGGCACTGCCGGTGACCCTGGCGCACATCTTATTTTGGGTTTGCCAGAGGCTTTTTTAGATCTGCTAAATAAGAGGCAGAGGATTTCCTGGTGCTGTAAATACACCAATCATGAAATCTGCCTGTCAGAGTCACATTTTCTCTGACTCAGGCAGCTCTGACCCCTCCAGCCAGCACTTGCGGTTTCAGCAGCGAAGACGGTCAAGCGGCCGCCACTCCTGCCTAACGCGAGCAAAGTGTACGGCAGGGCAAGGCTGGTCGTCCTCCCGGCACTAACCGGGCACAGCCAAATCCGGCAGACCCCCGCAGCGGTGTGAGGCCCTGGCTGGCAGCAGGGCTCACACAGCGGCCCCCACGCCTCCAGACACCGGCATCCCGGCGTTGCCACAGGGGTCCAGCCACGGTGCCTCTTCCCCGGCACCTCCTGGCACAGCTTGGCTTTGCTTCAGGCTGCAAAAGCCGTGCGCCCATCTCCTGCCGAGGAAGGAGCAACGGGGACGCCGGGGCTAGCTGTCACCCAGGGCTCCTTGCCGGCTGCACCAGAGAAACCAGCAGCACCCAGGACCTTCCCCCTGGTTTCAGCCAACCCAACCAGCAGCACAAAAATCCCTGAAGCAGCATAAAAACCGAGGGGCCACGCACACGCAGACCAGCCCTTTTCCTCTCCCACCTGTGCAGCTTAAAAAGAAAAAAACAAAAAACATTTACTGTTAAAAATAGAAAAGTGACAGTGCTGGGTGACATCGCTGTCACAGGATGTCTGGTGCTGCCTGCGCAGGCAGGCTCCTTCCCCAGCCGGTCACTGCCTGCGACATGCTTCTTGGCAAAACCCCACGGAGGAGCTGAGGGAAAGGCGGCGGCACCAGTGGGGGGGTCCCACACGTGTCCCCTCCCGGCAGGAGCCAAGGAGTCACCACGAGCGTCGCACATAGCCACGGGTGACGGCAGCCCCGGCCCTGCCGGGCCAGGGAAGCCGCGGTGGGACAGACCCCCCTCCGGCAGCCAGGAATTTGGGGTGGCATAGGGGTGGGTGCACATCCATGAGCCCCCCCAGCCTGGGCACAGCGTGCAGCCTTGCCGGGAGGAGCAGAGTACGCAGCGGTGGCACCGGCAGCACCAGTTTCACCACCGGTTCTGCTTTTGCACCAAGTGGGAAGCGGATGGGTTTGTGCTACGCAGCTGATGTGGGACACCTCTCCCCGTCCCCCCCTACCCCGGAACGGACCCTGTGCTGCTGCGAGGCGAGAGCTGCACCCGCCGGGCACTCACCTCCGCTTGCCACCGGCACAACCCCAGCACCAGGCACGTGCCGGCGGAGTGCCGGGGCGGCCGTGGGGCCTCGCCGCTGCTCGCTGGGGACGGGGACGAAGCTCCAGCGAGGGACCCACCGGGTCCCTGGTGCAGCAGGCTGGCAGCTCACCATCGCCCTTCGCCCTCGCCCAGTAAATCATTCATCAGGACCTCACTGGGTTCCCTCCTCCGGTCACTGGTCATTTATAACCTCTGTCCAAAAAGAGACGAGGAAATTCCAGAAACAAAATCAACCCGGAGAGCCGCGGTAACCCAGCTGGGTGTCGGGGACCGGGGGGCGGGAGGGATCACCCAGCCCTCGTCCCCGCCGCCCCTTTCGGCTCTCAAATCCTCGCCCTGCTTACCCACCGCATTCCTCCCCGGGATTAGGCAATGCCGCCGAAGCTGTTTTGTAAGAGACTTAAAGGCTGTAAGAACGGCGTGACGAGGGGCAGGCGAGGGCTGTAAACCACCCCCAGGACCGGGGCAGGGATGGGCAGCTGCCTGCAAACCAGGAGGATGAGCCGGGATGCCGAAACACACCGCGGGCTTGTAGCAGCCAGGGACAGACCCCACCAGCCCCATCCTAAGCCCGCACTGCCCTCGGTCTCCCCGTTCTGGGGATGGAGGACCTGGGGGTGACCAGGGATGGTCCCCATCGCCCCCATAGTCTGGACCGAGGGGCTTGGCCATCCCCTCTGCTCTCAAACAGGGGTGCTGGCAGCTTTTCTGGGGGGCTCCCACAGCCGCCACATCCTCACCAGCCCCACTCAGATGTCCCCAACCTAGCAGAGGGGTTTGGATGCTCTTTTTGCCCGGCCACCTGCACGTGAGCCCCAGGAGAGCCAAGCATCATGCCGGGCTCCTGGGGCTCAGCCTCCCCTGAGGCACCAGGGACCCCCTCCCCATCCACCCCCATCCCTGCACCAGTGCCCCCAGCCTCGGGGGACATCCTGCACCCACAGTTCCTTTTCTGAAGCAGAGTCAAGCAAGAAAACAGCCGTGGCCTCCCCTTTGCAGCCACCCCACCTGGGATCCCAGCCCACACCAAAGCCTTGCCCTGGCTTTGCTTGCCAGCGGTGCCGGGTAGTGCATTGGCTGCCAAGCAGCACCACCAGCATGCACAAGTGGCCCCAGCACGCACCACAACAAACCAGCCGCTCCATTTCAGGTTCGCCCAATGCCATACACCACAGCTTTCCTGCCCAAGGGTCTGCTCCAGGGTTACCCACCTCTGGGTGCCACATGCAGGCACAGGCAGGAGACCCCAAGCCCCCCATGCCACAGGGATATGCCCGTCCTTATCCCACTGCTGCTGTCGGGGCCATGGGTTTCCCATCCTACAAACCAGAGGCAAACAGCCATAGGCAGCGGGAGCACGAACAGCAGTAATGAAGGCCAGGCTCATTAGATTAACAAGCTGTGTATGGGATGGGAAGGGCAGTGGTCTCTGATTAGGGGTGGCCGCCAAGCACGCTGCCTTCACCGGCTCCGGCAAAGCCTTGACCACCACAGAGGTGACTGCGCGCAGCCCCCTGCACCCTCGCAGCCCTGCAGCACCCAGCTAAATCATCATTTTACCCCTAACGAGGTGCTGGGGAATCAAGCGGTTTGACCAGGGCTGGTCGGTGCATCAGTGGCAGAGCTGTGCTTGCAGCAGCACCATCCCTGGGCACCGGCAGCCGAACCATGGCTGCCCCATGGCTCTTCCCTGCCCATCCCTTCGAGGGCACCTGGGCTAGTGGCCACGAGCTGGAGGAAAACCGGCACAGGAGCCCGTCAGGCGTGCAGCACCCGCTCGATGGGTCTCATTCCAATTCCTCCTCCACCACTGGCAACCCGGCAGGCGGGGGAAGCAAACCCTGCCTACACCCTGGCGTTCCCCTTTCCCAGGCTTTTGGGCTCGTTAATCAAAGAGAGCTAATTAAAGCGGGCAAAGCATGGTACCTTGGCTCAGCTGCGGGAGGCGGATGGGCGAGGTGGCCGATGTACCAGCAGCCCATGCCCGGCTCCCCGGCCGGCGCGGCGGAGGCTCACGGAGGGGTCTCTGCCCGCCCGAGGACTTCCTCAAACGCCGCCTCGGCAATCGGGAACTTGCCGAAAAGCCGAGCCGGGCGTTACGAGCCCAGTGCGCGGGGGGACGTGTTGCAATAACGGCCCCTCGCTCGCAGCTCGCCACCGCGCTGCAAGAGCTCTCCGGCCCCGGCAAAACCCGTGGTATCTCAGCACGGCCGAGAAACGCCGACTGCAGCCGCCACGGGAGAGGAGGAAGCCAGACCCTGGTACCAGACGAGCCCTGGCTGACGGCAAGACGGGGCAGGGCCTTCAGCAAGAGAGGAAGGAAGAAACGGGGAGGGTGGTCCCCGGAAAGCCGTGCGGCGTGGCACGGCTCCCCGGCACTGCGGCGGGGACCGGGGCACTGAGGATGAGGTGTCCCGGGGCCAGCAGGACAAGCCGAGCCCCGGCCACCAGCAAGGAAGGGACGAGTGGCCGGGTGGCTGCCGCGTCCCCACCACCCCAGGAGCCCCACGGACCCCCCGGGAGGGCAGCGAGCCCTCACCCACGGGGGTCCTGGTGGGCACCGGGGACATGGAGCCAGGTTGTGGGGGGACCTGTGGGAATGGGAATGGCCATCAGTGGGAAGGGGGTTACCCAGCCCCCACATCCCTGGCTGCATTGGGCAACCAGCCTCGCACCAAGGTGATTTTTACCCCTTTCTGCCTCGATTAAGAAAGGATCCTCAGCCGGGACCATGGCCATCCAGGACGGGGCCGATGTCCCAGCGTCCCTGCGGGAGCCGGGGACAGACCCAGCCTGGCCGAGGAGCCCAGGACCGACTCGCCTGGGCCCAGCCGCAGCCACCGCCGCTCTCGGCCGGGAATCGAAAGCGCCACATCCTCGCACCGAAACTTGCCGACGCAAATCCTCGGCGAGCAGAGAATGCCCAAAAGCAGAAGCAGGGGCCGGGGATCGTACCGAGCCTTGGCTCCCAGCAGCACCGCACCCCACAGACCTCCCACCGAAACTACTCCAGTGCTTCACCTCGGCAGAGTCCCATCAGTTCAGCAGCTGCAAAGGTCTCACTTTGGGAAGATGAGGCTGTTTCATTTTCAAGATCTCACCGTGGAGCACAGGCCAGTAAATACAACATGCAAATAATATTCAAACACACCAGGCCTCGGGCAGCATTCAAAAATCAAGTTAAATCTTGCAAAGTCATCAAAATCTAGGGGTGGAAAAGGTTCTTCAGAGCCTCTTCCTGCTGCCAGTGATTCAAATCTCAAAGTGCTTCATGTTTAAGCAGCCGGGACGGTACCCCAGCCTCGCTGCAGGCTGCTCAGCTTGCTTTACAGCTCCTACACACCGTGCCTTCCTCCAAGGGTGCCACCAGCTGCCAAGCTCCCCGTGGTGGGAACTGCCCGAAGGCGGCTGTGCACGGAGGTGAGGGGCGTGCACGGAGATGCAGGGTGTGCACAGAGATGCAGGGTGTGCATGGAGATGTGGGATGTGCATGGAGATGTGGGATGTGCATGGAGGTGAGGGGTGTGCACGGAGATGTGGGATGTGCATGGAGATGTAGGGTGTGCATGGTGGTGAGGAGTGTGCACAGCTGATCGGGGTGTGCACGGTAGCGTTGGGAGCGCACGGCAGCTGAGGGGGTGCACGCCTGGTGCCCAGGAGTGGTGCAGCAACTGGGCCGTGCTGGAGGGAAGGCAGCGGCACCGGGAGGAGAGGGCAGCAGGAGAGAAAGCCGTGAGCCGAGACAACACCGACCCCGCTCCTCGGGATGGGGCAGCTTGTGGGGCGCTTCCCCCTGCTCCTCCGACATGCAGCGGGAGGAAGGCTATGAGGAAGGCGATGAGGAGGGTGTCGGGGACAAGGGGGTAGGGAAACGAGGGGTTCCTCATTTCCCCAAGGTCCCGCCTGCGTTTCCCTTCTCCCCCTGGAAGTAAAACCCAGGAAGGTGAAGTGTGCCCTGGGCTGCGGCATGAACGAGGGCACCCGAGCTCCCGGCATCCCCTCCCGGGGCATCGCCGCCTGCCTTGCAAATCCAGCAAAAAAAGGGGCAAAACCAGCAGAAAGGGGGCAAAACCATACAGCAACTGATGTCCCTGCCCACTGAGCCCCGCCTGGGATGCTCTCAGCTCCTGACACACTTTCTGGCAGCCGCCTGCAAAATAGGTCAGGAAACTGTACCCCGCATGCACGGCCCCCCCCAGCAGCCCCACTGGGCACGGGGCCGTCCCCCACCTCCGGGGGTCCAGCGATGCCATGGCGGGATGGTGCCGAACACCGGCTGCAAGCCGAGGATGCCCCTGTGGAGCACCGGTCCCGGGGGGGGGGCACGACACCAGTGTCCTCCGTGGGGATCATCCACGGCACCCAGCGCGCAGCACCAAAACCAGGTCGGTCCCTGTTTTGCCTTCCCGTAAGTGGGAAGTGAGAGTCTCTTGGTGGAGGAGGGCTTGACCGCTCCGGCTGTGGCCGGTGGGGGGGCCCTTTGCCGGCCCTGCTGCCCTGCCGCCTCCTCTTCTTCCTCCTCGGGGTGCAGCGGGCACCCGCGGCACAGACCCAGCTCACCCCCAGGGCCACCCAAAAACCTCTGCCTGGAAAAAGCCAGCTCATGGGGGTGCAGCAGCACCCCAACCCCATGCACAGACCCCCTCCACCGTGCCGGGGCCACCTCCCGTCCACCCCTGGCCACCACAACACCGCCCGGCAGCCCTTTGGCAAGGACAGAGCCAAGCCGCGGCGTGTGGATGCTACCGCAGGGACCCCCCCAACCACATGCACCCGCTCCCCCCTTTGCAAAAGCCTTTCTGCACAACCAGCCCCCCCCCATCACCTGCAGTTTTGGGGTGTCCAAGTGCCGTCCCGGCCACTCCCTGGGTGCCCTGAACTAGGGCAGCATCGCCTGCCCGCACCCTGAGCTGGCAGCACGGGCAGGAGGAGGAGGAAGGCCATGCCGGGGATGGGGGGGGGGCACGGCAGCACTTTCTAACCTGTCCCAGCCAGGCGGGAAGCCCCAAATTATTTTTAGACTATTTTTTTTCCCCTGAAGCGTGACGTTTGTGCCGTGCCACAGGCAGAAGAGCAGGCAGGGAGACACCGACTTGGGCCACCCCCTGCCAGATTCCACCTGCTGCTACGGTGGGTTCTGGCTCTGCGTTTTAACGATTTAACAGCTCGCATCCATCTGCAAAATTTCCCGGAGCACTAACACCCTGACAGCCATGGGGTCCCTGCTGCAGGACACTCACTGGAGCCACCTGAAGCCCCCAGCACGCGATGACAGTGCCTGCAACCCTCCCAGGCTGATGGAACAGGACTTGATTTCCTGGGGGGGGACGCCAACTGTGTGGCACGGGGTGGTAAAAATAGGGATGGGGCAACCATGCTGCCCTGCCCGAGAAGAAGAGCCACGAGATACTGGCATGGGGGAGCATCGCTCCCTGCCTCCTCCCAGACACCCCCAAAATACCCAGGGCTCACCCCCTTGGTGGGTTTTCTAGGTCCTAGTGGCAAACGACCCGCTTTCGGGGTGGGGGGACAGGGGACGTGGAGTATGGAGGGATGCAAAAGTCCAATATTGCTATAAATATCCCCATCCCTGATGTCCCGGCTGCTTCCCATAACAGCTCGGCCCCAGTAGCTGCTGCTGCAGTGGGGGGCACCCCCAGAAAACAACCGGCAGCTTTCGGAGGGGCTTTCCCCGGCGCAGACATGGCCTTCCTCCCGACACGGTCCTGGGACCCCAGGACAGCCCGGAGGGAGCTGCTGACGAGCCCCAGCACGGCCACCCACCCGCAGCACCCGGGTCTGCTGCACGGCACCAGCCTGCGCCTTCAAAGGCTGTTTTTTTAGGGGTGAACGCTGCAAATTAAAATTGCAGCCCCTGCAGCGGTGCCGAAGTCCTGCAGACCTCCCCCCGGAGCGAGGGACCCCCCCGGGCAGGCACGGCCCCCAGCCCCGCACCCCCGAGCATCGTCCCGATGGCCCCGGGGACGCGGCAGCAGCAGCGAGGCGACGCAAGAAGCCAGCTCGACGTTACCAGAGGACGAAGCAGCGACCGTCCCGGTTCTAGCCGCGCAGCGCCGGCAGCCTGTGCCAGAGCAATTCTTCAGGCCTTGCCAGACATACCACGACGCGGTGAGGAGGAGGAGGAGGAAGGCGAGAGAAACCCGCCGGCGGCATTGCCCGGTGTTTGGGAGCTGTTGGCGGCGATCGGCACTGCACGGGCGCTGCTGGCAGGGATCCTGGCAGGGATCCCGGCTGCCCCGGCAGAGCCGCAGCTGCCGGCGTTGTTTGGCCGTGAATTGGGACGCGCCGAGCTGGTTCTCAAACAGAAAACAAATCTGCCAGCCGGGCCCTCGGGGTTCCGCTCTCCTGGGCTTCACCCCTCCATCACCGGCCCCAGCCCTGCCAGTGCCGCCCCGGCGTCCCTGGTCATGTCCCTCACCCCAGCAGGCACGGCTATTGCTGCACCTCGACTCCCTGGGGTGGCCTGGGGACAGGGGTTGTCGGCACAGCCGGGGGTCCCAGGAGACTGGGGTTGAGCTGGGTTATGCTGGGGATGAGCTGGGGTATACTGGAATCAAGCTGGGGAGTACTGGGATTGAGCTGCGGTGTACTGGGGTTGAGCTGGAGTGTGCTGGGGGTGAGCTGGGGTATACTGGTGATAAGCTGGGGACTGCTGGGAGGGGGAGCTGGGCCATATTGGAATTGAGCTGGGGAGTACTGGGACTGCGAGCTGGGGTATACTGGGGTTAATCTGGGATGTGCTGGGGGTGCGGGTGCATCCAGCTGGGGGGGCACAGCCATGTCATAGCCGAGCGCTTTTGGAGCACGGGTGCAACCTGCCCCCCCCAGCTCCTCTGCACCCACCACAGCTCACCGTGTCCCCCCCCCGGTGCCCCCGCAGCACCGCACGCTCCAGGCAAGCCGATGCCCCTGCAGCACGTGGGGAAGTGCAGGAGAAGCATGACCCCCCCGGGAAAGAAACCACAGCCGAGGAGGTCGTGTGTGTGTGTCCCGTCGTTCGTCCCCCCCAAGCTGCGTTTGCACCCCCAGCCCCCCCCATCCCAGGCATCGCCCACCCCACCGAGCAGCGAGGAAAGCGCGGTGAGAGGAGCACCAAGTACCTCTGTTTGGCAGCGCCGAGGATGCCGAGGTGCTTCCCGGGGCGGGGGCTGGCAGGGCCCCCCCAGCCAGGCATGGCGGCAGCCCTGCCAGGCCTGGGCTTGTTCCTGCATGGAGGTTTGGCTGCCTCATGGAAACGGGAGCCGAGGGGAAAACCGTAGGGACTTTCCCCCCGCAAAAAAAAATAAAAATAAAAAGGGGTTTGGGTTGGTTTTTTTTCCTCCCCACCCAGTTCCCGAGGCCTTGGCAAAGGGAAAAAATGAAGCCGGGTGGTTTGGGGACGCGGGGGGAGACGTGAGGATCCCACGGCTGCCCCACATCGCTCCCCAAGCCGAGGGGGGGCTGCAAGCCGGTCCCGGCGGATTGCACTTGTGCTGGCTGGACAATGCTCCTTTCATACCGCAGAGCAGCTCGGGGACGGGGACACGCTGGCTGCCTGCTCCCGGGGACGGGGGGGGGACGGGGGACGGGGGGGCGGGCCCCATGGTCTCGGCCCCTCGCCCACGCGAGGCCGTGCCCCGTGCAAGGAGGGGCTGGGCTCAGCAGCACCCGCTGGGCGATGCACCAGGCTCGGCCCCGCGTTTAGGGGACGATGCTCTGCGGGGGTTCAGCCTGCGGGGCCAGTGTCTGACACCCCCCACCAAAAAAAAAAAGCCCCTGCTGCTTGCATCCCCCTCTGCTCGCAGCATGCCAGCTCGCCGGGTGCTCGGAGCCATCCCTATGGGATCCCCTGCCAAAGCCTTCAACCGAAGACGATGATGGTGCCGTGGGTGCCACGGCCTTATCCAGGTCACGGGGTTGCATATCCCAAGGCCCCAGGGGACCGGCAGCAATGCCGGAGGGTCATTCCTGCAGAGCCAAAGCCTGGCAGACCTTCCCGCAGCATTTAAGGGATCCCTCACGTCCTCCCCAGCCAGCGGTGGGACAGAACCAACACGGCACCTCAAGAAAGCCCCCCAGCCCGGCCCTGGGGTGCCCAGCAGATCCATATCCTCCACCTGCGCTGCCGATGGTCCGCAGCCTACCTGAGCCCCCAGCTCTGCCCGAAGCCCCCCGGCACGCAGCTCCTCCGACACCCGGCCACGCTCTGGAGCATCCTTCGCTCCCCTATGGAGCCATTTCTTCTCGCAGCCCCCCCGCCACCGAGTCTCTGGCAGTACCTCCGACAGGCAAAAGACCTAAAAAACCCCCTGCGAGGGGCTTTGCCCCCATGATCGGCCCCCACCGCGCGTCCCCCCCATTGCCGGAGCCGGCCCTGGCTCTGGTTTTGCTCCAGTATTGCCCCGCGCAGGGGTGGAGCGGAGGCCGGCTTCCTTTTTAATTGGGTCCTATTTTTAATGTTGGTTTTCGAGAGGTGTGGGGGAGGATGGGGAGGATGCAGCAGATATAAATTAACAGGCGAAGTCGGAAACGAGTCCCCGGTGCCCAGCCCAGTCCCACATGTGACGGCAACACGGGATCACGCCTGGTGCTGGGGTGCACCGGCTGCACACCGGGTATGTCACGTCGACCGGCCACGAGCCAGACCCTGGCACCCAGCCGTCGAGCAAGACCCCGCCGGCCGGCGTGCCGGGGCAAAGGGGGGGCTGCGCTGGCCGTAACCGCGTGCGCCAGGGCTGCACCCCACGAGGACCAGGGGGTCCCAGGGCTGAGCCCACTGCAGCCGGGCTCCACACAGGGCCATGCTCCCCGGGGGGTGCCAGCCTGTCCCCCCCAGGACAGAGCATCCCCTCTGCCCCCCCCGTGCTCCAGGCACCCCAACACCTCGCAGACCCCTGGTCCCCT